GTAATTATAATATTATAATTCATTTTATTTATTTATTTTATTATTTTTTTTATAAAATTAATAATTTTAATAATAAAAAATTTATAAAATACACTTAAATATTTTTATTAATCATTTAATGTTGAACAATAACCATTAACTATTATACAATTAAACAATTATATTAATCTAATCTATTATCTATTATCTATTACATGCCTTTTGTTATCTACCACCTACCATTCACTAATAACTATTCATTATCATTGTTTACTATTTACTACTTATTACTCATTATCCCCTATTCGCTATCTATTATTTGCTGAATTTTAACCACTATACCAAATAGGCTCTTAGTTCCTCAACTTCTTTATGCACTTTTTTGGTTCCTCAACTATAAAAAAAAATGTGTTTTTTTTAATTTTTCTATCAGTTAGTCTGTTAAGTATGTCTATATGTGCACATTTTTAGTCAATGAGCTTTTAAGTTAAGGAACAAAAATTGTATAAAATCCTAAAGTTAAAGGACTAAAAATGTATATATATAAAGAAACTTAACAGACTAACTAACCGAATAACTAAAAAAATGCATTTTTTATAGTTGAGGAACAACAAAAGTGTGTAAAAAAAATTTAGGATCAAAACTATATAAAACACTAAAATTGAGGGACCAAAATTGGCATTAACCTAGTTTTTTCTTTTCCTTTCTAATTAATTGGTTTTCATCATTGTTACTTACTAGGTCTCAATTGAAGGATGCAATTGTTGAAGGTGGAAGTACTCCATTTGAAAGGGTCCATGGAACTCATGCCTTTGAATACGCTGCCAAAGACTCCAGATTCAATCAAGTTTTTAATAACGCAATGATCAATTATACCGCTATTGGTATCAAGGAGATCCTGGAGTCCTACAAAGGATTTGAGCATCTCACCCAATTGGTTCAAGTTGGTGGTGGTCTAGGAGTCACTCTGAACTTCATCACTTCCAAATACCCTTCCATCAAGGGAATTAATTTCGACTTGCCTCGTGTTGTTCAGCACGCCCCTCCTTACCCCGATATGCAACATTAGAGATTACAATATTAGCATGTGTCAAGCTTCTTAATTTATATGTCTTCCGCACTCTATTTAAACATAAATTGTATGCAGGGGTTGAACATGTGGGAGGAGATATCTTCCAAAGTGTTCCTAAAGGAGATGCCATACTTGTGAAGGTGGGTGATGAATTTGCTTTCTATTACACCAAGAAAAACTACTTGTCAATACATTATTTTAAATGCAAACGTAAATCTTTGAAGATGTAATATTTTGGAAATGAATTTACAGTGGATACTACATGATTGGAGTGATGATCTTTGTGTTAAACTGTTGAAAAATTGTTATGATGCCACACCTGACAATGGAAAAGTAATCGTTGTGGATGCAATCGCCCCAAATTTGCCCAAGAAAGATATTGCTTCAAGGGCCATTGCTCAGAGGGACGTGTTTATTATGATTAAAAACCATGGAGGGAAGGAAAGGACACAGCATGAATTCATTGAGTTGGAAACTAGAGCCGGATTCGGTGGCATCAAATATGAATGTTTAGTGTTTAATACCTGGGTGGTCATGGAGTTTCTTAAGTAATATATTATGTGGTGGAAACACACCCTAATTTAAGATTTAAAAAAATAATAATATTAAAGGTCATATCTTAATCTTGTTATAATATAAGAAAAGTTTAAATACAAAAAATAAAAGATTTTACACATAATTAAGTCCTAATTCCGTCAATACTCATTAGAAATTGTAATTCTAAAGCATATGCAAGCTATCTTTGATTTTTTTTTTTTTCTATCTAGGTGTTTCTAGAAAACAGATTATTGCATTTAATTTAATTATGTGATATGTTCTATATAATAAAAATTTAGGTGAATTGATGTATATTAATTGGAAAATGCTTTGTGCACCCCCCGGTTCAACACCTGAGAATGCACACTCTACATAACCAAATAATTTTAAAAATAAAATTATAAATTTAACCTTAAAAGTTATCTTTCTCTCAATACCCCTTTTTTTTCTTGTCTCTCCATCTTCCTCTTCTAACAAATTCATTATCTTTTTCCTTTTTCCTTCTTCCTCCATTTTTTTTTCTCTCCATCTGGGTTCTGCTGGAGAACCCAGATCAAGTTTTGTTGTAGAACCCAGATTAAGTTCTGCTGGAGGTGTACACTTTACATAACCAAATAATTTTAAGAATAAAATTACAAATTTAACCTTAAAAGTCATTTTTTCTTAATAGCCCTTTTTCTTCTTGTCTCTCCATCTTCCTCTTCTAACAAATTCATTATTTTCTTCCTTTTTCCTTCTTCCTCCTTTTTTTTTTTTTTTTCTCTCCATTTGGAGAACCTAGATTGGATTCTCCATTTGGGTTCTGCTGGAGAACCTAGATTAGGTTCTGTTGCAGAACTCAGATCGGGTTCTGCGGTAGGATCTACAACAGAGCCAGGGAGGAAAAATGAAAAAAAAATTAAAATTTATATTATATTTTATATATTTAATAATTATGATTAGATATTTTAATATTTAAATTTTAAAATGTCTTAATTATTTTTTCTTTATTAATATTATATATATTTTAATTATAACTAAATTAAAGTATGAAGACCATCATTGTCCTTCTTGCGTAAAACCATCAAAATAAGAATTTACTTGGTTTAAAGATAATGGATTGTTTTAACTATTAATGATGATTTAATGATTAAAAATTTGATATTTTAAGTTTAAATTTTTAAATTTAAATTTGGAGTCCAATAAAAAAATTAAGAAAAAAAATTATTCTTCTTTATATAACTCATAATTAAATATTAAAAAAAAAAGAAAAAGAAAAGGACTTTTGATTATTTAACTAATCAAAGTATTTCATTAGTCCAATAATTTATTTTGATTAGTTAAAATAATGTTTGCTTTTCCAACCAAATATGTCATGAAGGCAAAAAAGAACAAAACTGAAAAACAATGAGATATGATGCCCGGTCCCATTTCCTTCGATTCCAGTTTAATAAATTAATAGCCACCCCAAGCATATCCCATCGGCAATAATTCCACTCCAATTGTTCATACACTTGGAAATTTGAATCCTATCATACCCAACAACTCAAAGTTTGATTACCCAAATGGCCTCTTCAGAAGAAACCCAAAGCCGAATCCATGCCAACAACATGCGGCAAGATCACGAGGAACAATCTTCCTCGTACGCTCTGCAGCTTGTCAACTCAGTCGCGCTGCCCATGACTCTGCATGCCGCACTTCAGCTGGACATTTTCCAGATCATAGCCAAAGCCGGAGCTGGCGCCAAGCTCTCCCCACAAGAGATAGCAACCCAGTTGGGCACCCAGAACCCCGATGCACCCATAATGCTGGACCGCATCCTTAGGCTCCTAGCCACCTACAATGTGCTCACTTGCTCTGTTGCTGTTAATGATCATCAAGATGATCCTCAGAGACTGCACGGTTTAGCATCTGTGTCCAAGTACTTTACCCGAAATGAAGATGGTGTTTCACTAGGACCCCTCATGGCTTTGCTTCAAGACAAGGTCGTCTTGGATAGTTGGTTTGTGCTTCTTGCTCTATATCAAATATCAATCAATTCCCTTTGCCTGAATTTAATTTCATATAAAAAAATAAAAATATTTTAATAAACACGTTATTTAGTATATTAAATTGAATGATATATCAATTAGTGTTATTTTTCAAATAATATGTTCTTTTTCTCTTCCAATTTACTGATTTTCATCGATTTTCACCGTTGTTACTAATTAGGTCTCAATTGAAGAATGCAATTGTTGAAGGAGGAGTTCCTTTTGACAGGGTCCATGGAACTCATGCCTTCGAATACCCTGCCAAAGACCCCAGATTCAATCAAGTTTTTAATAAAGCAATGTTCAATCATACCACCATTGTTATCAAGGAAATCCTTGAGTCCTACAATGGATTTGAACACATCACC